AAGGCAGTTAGGGGCGATCAGGCAGGTAGGCAGAGAGGTTAGGGGTGATCAGGCAGGCAGGCAGGTGAGTGGTTAGGAGCCAGTGGTCCCAGATTGTGAGAGGGGTGTCCAACTGCCGGTTTAGGCCCGATCCCACAGATATTGGGCCTAAACCGGTGGTCGGACATCCCCCAAGGGGTCCCCAATTGGAGTGGGTGCAGGCTGGGCTGAGGGAACCACCCCCCTCCATGCACGAATTTCATGCACCGGGCTGCTAGTTTATATATATAAAAGCCAAGCAACCGGGACGACTGGTCACTATGATGCGCACTGCGGCTGGCCAACTAGCCTGATGAGGACAGGGCCGGCCAAGCTCCCACAGCCCCTCCCCCCAGCTGGCTGGCTGGATCCCACCCGTGCACAAATTCGTGCACCAGGCTTCTAGTAATGTTATGTAATATCACATGATGATTTTGAATTCACAGCATGTTATTTAAGGGTAATTAATAATTATTGAAAAAATCTTATGTAATTTGTGTGACTGAAATTTAGGCTAAGTGGTTAATTAGTCAAACTTCCTCCATGGAGTCTTTTCCCCTCTGCTCCAGGTTTAGCAAGGTGCCTTCTGTACTATACTTCATAGCACATTCTGCCCAGTACCGGTCCTGGTCATAGTAAGTGCTTAATAAATATGAATGTAGTGGATATGGAATCTACTCAATTAAATTGAGTTTAACAAATGTTCTACTGCTTTATTTTTCTAAAATCAAATTAACTCTATCTCAAAGCTCCTAGGTTGATGAGATATTCCAGCTTAGTTATTACGAGAATCATATCGCTACACACAAGATTTCACATGGAATGGGGTCTCAGAATGTCTGGACAGCCCTCTTAGCTTAGGGCTACACTGGTCGCTGGTAATGTATTTATCAAACAAGATAGTTTCTTGAAGGTAATTAGGTCTGTTGCTAATCTACCATACCTACACACGGGAACTTAGCTTATAGCCCTAGTGTCATGGGTCAAGCCATTCAAGAGGCACCCACGGCTCCTTTCTTTTCAGGCCCAAATGCTTTCTAGGGTACTGAGGGGAGATAGGGTAAACCCTCAAACAGTACCCCCAAACCAGGAATGTCTCTCTATAGCATAACCTCCTTGATATGTTCAGTTTTTTGAAAGTAAAACCTAGTAATACATGTGTATTCATTTCAGCTTTTGGTCCCAGATAGTCTCTCTTGAGTTAGGAAGATGCAAATGAAGAAGTAAAAAATAAACAATGATGAAATACATATTAACATCTCATTAAATTATCCTGCTATGGAATTATTTTTATTGTTACCCAATAGTCTACCATAGGTTCTGAGAATCAAGAGAAAAAGAAAGTTCTTGGGTAAAGACACTGGGAATGATGCTGGGGAACCAAAACTATTGAATTACAAAGATATGAGATTATATAAATAGTTCAAGAGTGCTATAGAGTGGAGTAGACTTCTGTAGGCATATAATGTCAACACATTTTAAATTTACTCTCTATTGTTAATGCAAAGGATTTCCCCCTTTTCTTTTAGGCTAGTGGTGGAGCCTCCACTGAGCTACGGGTGCGTTATCAGCCCAACCGCTGTGCACTTCTTGAGTCAGCACAGGTTCCTGGGCACACCGTTATCTTTGACTCCCATGGCAAAATAGCTGATGAATCATCAACAGGCTATGCAGGCCTTTCCAAAGAATTTGTTGTTTTTGTCAAGGTAAAATGGAGGAAAGTCATTAAAGTTTATATTGCTGAACACCTACTTTCTCTTGCTCTGTTAAGGAAAGCTCTTGAATGGAGTCATATGGGGTAATCAGATGTCTTCCCACGAGGTGGCATTGATGCCTATTGCCTTTTATTTACCCAGACTGAAAGGCCAGATGGATCATAACACCAGCAACAAACCAATGGGAGTAACATCCCATATCAATTGGAGGTTAAAAATATGGATGTGGGGATTCTTAATAAAAGTTAGAAAATCTTACATTTGGGACTTAAACAAATGTATATATTTAATTTTTCTGACAATTAGAATGTTTGCACCCTTTGAATGTGGTATATACATGTAGTGATTTCATAATACTTATGCTTCTTCCTTTATAGTATATGTTTGTAACCTTATTTTAAAAATAATATTATCATATTAATATAATGTCTATCAGTTATAAGACTGTATTTTGTGCCAGGCACTTTATTGAGAACTCCATTACATACAAGACTAAATTTAACCGTCATGAAAATACTGACAGATATTGTTATTTGTTTTTTAAATGGGGAGAAAAACATTTCAGGAAGTTAAGAATCTTGACTAGTATAGCATGGCTAGTCAGTGATGGTTCATGAATCAAATCAAGGTCAGCTTCTCTTCCAAACTGTTTATACTTATAAAATAAACACTTTATCACATTATCATTTTTCAAAACAACAAGATTTTAATGGTTGCATAATATTTAAACATAAGGAATATATACATACATATATATTTGTTTATCATTGTACCTTTAATCTTTGTCTTTTCATTTTACATCTCTACATATATTACTGCAACATATACTTTGACAAATCTTTGACCACATATTTTATTATGTTCTTTTTTCTTTTCCATTATTTTTTTTTAACTTAGATAATTTGAAACTGAACATAAGGATCAGAATACGAAATCTTTAAGACTCTAGAAACATACTGCCAAATTTTCTTTCAGAAATGTACCAATTTTTAATCCTGAGAAACTTAAGTCAACTCTGAAGTTAGAGAGAACAGTTCATATATCACCTCACTGCTGTTACAAACTTTAGAGTTCAGGGGTCTTTGAGATCACTAAAACAACTCAGAACTCCATGAACTCTGTTATACTCATGGTTAAGGTTTTTTTGCAGGGAAGGATAACATGAAAATTAGCTAACGGAATAGACACAGAGGGCAGAGTCTAGGAAAAGTAGCAGACATTGTCCTCTTCCCATGGAGTCAGGACAGTGATACTTCCTCAGCATTAATATGTGACAGTCTGCATGGAGTATTGCCAACCAGGGAAGCGAGCTCACCTGTGCCTTTACTTGGGTTCCAACATATAGGGAGTACATGTGGGTGATTTCAGTCTCCTGCCTCTTGGAGGTCAACTGGCACCTTGTGACTCAAAGTTCCTCCCTAAATCACATTTATATTATATGGTTGACCCAAGACCCTCAAACAAACAAAAACACTCCTATCAGGTATTACATTAAGGGTTTAGATAGTAAAACTCTCTGAAGGCCACAGACCTCTCTATGTAATATTAAATTCTTTACTACCTAACTCCCATCGGCAGTGTAGGAAAATATCCATTTCATTGACAAGTGTTGAGTATGGTCCTTAAAAAATAGGGGGAATAAACATGTAATTTTAGCTTTATTTATTTTTTAATTACTAGTGTGGGTACCTTTCCTTATGTTTATACACCATTTGTGTTTTGTCTTTTGTGACTTAAGTGTTTATGTATTTTATCCATTTTTCTACAGTGTTAGTGTATTTCTAATTAACTTTAAAGAACTATTTATATCTTCCTCTTAAGCTGTTGATTGCATAAAATTTTCTTAAACATATCTTATACATTTAATATCTCTTTTCTTTTATTCATTTATGTATTCTTACATGCATACATTTAACTGATACTCATACAATGCATTTCATAATTCAGGTACTTGGCTAGCAGAATAGTCTGCTTTATATTAGTATTAAAACTATTTTTAATAGTGACTATAAATTTATTAAGAGAAGTGTTTGTGTTTTGTATCTTTTTTAAAAATTGAATATATTGGGGTGACATTGGTTCACAAAACCATACAGGTTTCAAGTATAAACTCAACAAAACATCATCTGCACACTCCCCCACCCCTTTGCTCACCTCCACCTATCGCCCACCCACTTCCCTCTGGCTATCACTACACTGTTGTCTGTTTCTATGTGATATATATATGTTTTGTATCTTTTTAAAATCTCTGTAGCTTCTGATGCTTACCTTCACTCTCAATAAATAATGATTCAGGTGAAGCAGGAGTCTACCAGATAACCTCCTTTATTTTTGTTCAGTTTTGCATTGCAGTTAAGCTATTTATTATTTTCTTTTGTTCATTTAAAAAATATTTTTATTGATTTCACAGAGAAAGGGAGAGGGAGAGAGATAGAAACACTAGTGATGAGAGAGAATCATTGATCGGCTGCCTCCTGCACTCCCCACACTAGGGATTGAGCCCACAACTCAGGCATGTGCCTGACTGGGAATGGAACCGTGACGTCCAGGTTCATAGGTTGGCGCTCAACCACTGAGCATGCTAGCTGGGCATTTTTTGCTCATTTTTAATCACCAAGCTTCTGGTAAGATCCTGATCATTGCAACTTCTCTAAGAGAGTGGCCTCTATTGCCATATTCCTCTAGCAATACTTGAGCTTGTCATTTATTGCTTTTCTGTTCTATTTGTTGTTCTGAAGGGTGTGTTCCTCAACAGTGCTGTGGTTCTGCTTGCCACAAGCCTGTGCCAAGCCCTGTGTCTCCAGCCGGATGGCAGCTGCACTGGAGTGGGAAACCAGTCTGAAAAATCCTACTGGAAAGTGCACAAAATCAGCGCTGGGATTTGCATGTTTGAAAGTGTGAAAAATGCACGGATGTATCTGAGGATTAAAGATGGCCAGTGTGATGGAACAGTAAGCATCTGCTCTTATTTTTCTCAGCAAACATTTAAGATATTTGCCAATAATAGATATGAGAATAGCAATTTCTTAATAATTCCTTTTTTAGTTTTAATCTATGAACAATCTGGAAATTGGGTGTTATATATGGTGGTCTCCCTTAGCTAGTGTTTTTAATGAGTGGGTATGATTGGTATGAATGCTTGGTATGATTGGAGTGGAATCCGGACCCTTGAGAGACACTATTTCTGAAACATAATGTGTGTACAAATCACCTGGGAATTGTGTTAGAAAGCAGATTCTATCTTAGACTGCAGTGGGATTGTGTGCCTGCATTTCTAATAACAACCAGCTGTTGATGAGCTGGTCTGCAAACCACACTTTGAGAACCAAGGTACTAGAAAACCTCAGTTCAACAATATTTCCTAGCTGCTGCTTTTGGTGCCTGAATTTCCACCAATGGAAACCCTGTACTTTGAATAAGGAAGTAATTTTAAATTCCAAGTATTAAAGGCTCTTCTTTAACACCTTAGGAGGGGATGTGGGAGGCAACTAACATAACATCCTTTATAGATTTATAATTTTCCTATGGATTGAGCGGCAAAAGGATTATACATTTAACTTACTGATTAATGCTCTGTGTATCTGTTCTTGTTTGAAACAGTTTAAACTCTTTTTCGGATAAACTCAGAGATGCCCCCACTCTCCTTTCCCCTTACCAGTGTGGCTCTGGCTGTGTGGGAGAGTTTGCATGAGTTTCTGGAGGTGGGAAGAGGGAAGGCTTAGATCAGTGATGGCAAACCTATGACACGCGTGTCAGAGGTGACACGCAAACTCATTTTTTTGGTTGATTTTTCTTTGTTAAATGGCATTTAAATATATAAAATAAATATCAAAAATATAAGTCTTTGTTTTACTATGGTTGCAAATATCAAAAAATTTCTATATGTGACACGGCACCAGAGTTAAGTTAGGGTTTTTCAAAATGCTGGCACGCTGAGCTCAAAAGGTTCGCCATCACTGGCTTAGATCGTTCAGGGTTCTCTGGCTCCCTGTCTCGAGTGGACTGGTGAGTCTGCACTGATGTTCACAGGGCAAAAGAGGAAAGCACGTGCACACACACATTTAATTAGCATCCTTGATTGACTCACCAGAGGGTTGTAAAGTGGGCTATATCCCATTTCACAGAAGAGGAAGTCATGCTTCAGAAACAGAGTGTCAGGCTTATGGTCTTTAAACTGGTAAGTGGACTAATTGAGATAAAAACAGGTAACAGGCCCTGGCTGGGTAGCTCAGTTGGTGAGAGTGTCATCCAGATATGCCAAGGTTTTGGGTTTGATTCCCGGTCAGGGCACATACAATAATCAACCAATGCATGCACAAGTAAGTGGAAAGCAAAAGGTTCTCTCTCTCTCTTTCTCTCTCTCTCTCTCTCTCTCAAAAAAAAAATCAATTAAGAAAACCAACAGGTAACATTGTTGTTATCATGGCCAGACTAGTTGAGAGTAAAATTTCATAATATGCAGTCACCTTAGAGAAGGAACATTAGGAAGTAGCTTTTCCTTCATATCACCAACATCCACAAAGTATACAAACCTTTCTCTTCTGGGACTCTTAAATCTTGTAAGAAAACCTCTTTAAGGTCATAAAATGTGAACATAGTGAGTTTTCTAATATTCAGTTATAAATGGCATTAAAAAAGAGAGGGGTGACTTTGATTATCTGATTTATAGATGACTTCTAGGCTTCTAAGTCTTGAATTTTTGCTATACAGTCTTGGAGCAATTTATGTGAACTCGATTTATCGATGGCAATTCAATCCAGAAAACGTGGACCAGCACAGAAAATTAGTTTATGTTTAAATGTAAATAAACTTTATGGCAAAAATTTCTCTCTTTTCATCATTACATTATTTTCCAAAAGGAAAACTTCACAGTTCACTGTTCTCTATTCGCCTACAGATGGGCAACACTGAAACAGAACATAGCTTCTCTGATTCCTAGCTCTTCTCTCCAAAGTATGCACCTTTGCCTCAGCCACTCACCTGGTCTCTGTTTCTGGATCTTATGGAACAGGGTCAAGTGCATAGGGCAATTCATGTAACAGTTTCTAGATTTGGCATGAGGATTTGAAAATGAAGCAAAATTATATTCTTGTGAACTGACTGGTTTAAAATTCTGTCCTTCAGGGTTTGCTCAGAGTTACAAAATCATGTTATGCTGATTGCAGGGTACAGGAGATATTGACTGTCATTTTAAAATTAAGAAGAACTTGGAAAATGCATCTATAAGCCTGGAATCTACAAAGAGCCCCGGATTGTTTGTTGGACTCCAGTCAGATGGACAGGTGAAACCAGTTATTTACACCAAGAATGGGAATGTTTTCTTCTATCCACAAGTCATCAAATGTATGTCTACTCTGAAATATTTCATTGTTTTTGCTCCGTGATAGTTATACACACTGATATTTTCATCACTTTTTTTCTCAGCAAATTTCTGCTGTTAGGCTTTTTATGGTTGCTATTCTAGAAGCAGTAAAAAAACAAACAAACCTATAATAATGACCACATACCTCAAATTCTGCTATTTAATGTTTGGTATGAAGATTTTGCTACATCAGGCTCCTTTATAGTTTGGGTGTGTGCACTTGTGTGTGTGTGCATCTCTGTGTGTGTGTGTCTGTGTGCGTGTGTGCTTGTATTTTATTTGAGGATATCTCCATATACACTGAGAGGGGATGGGGCTGCTAGAAACATTCTCAGCTTAATTGCTATGAATTTTTTATCATCATAGTAGAAAAGGAGATTGAAAAAGATCAACACAAATGATATTTGAATTAAAAATAGAATTTGAAAAAAAGAAGTCTAAGGATAGGACAGAAATGTGAGTATTTTTAAACTGACTTTTTGTATCTAAGTTTGGGGTCTCTAGTAAATTGAAGTAAGAATCTGAAATCTTTACATAAACAATTTAAACTTAGAATGTATTTGCTTGAACACCACAGTTAATGAGGCAACTCTGTTGGTTCTTAAATTATTTCAAAATATAGTTTGTAGTTTAATTTGTCCCTGCTGTAGTCCCATGTATTTGGGCTTAATCAAAATCCTGATGATTTTCTTAGTCAGTATGACTCTTATTTAACTTCTCTTTTCTTATCAAAGTCTGTATATATATTTATATAAAGTCTGAATATATATATATTTATACAAACTTATGTATATATATTTATATAATATCACTATATGCGTAGATAAACTATCTACAGAAGATAGTTTAAAATAAGAAAAAATAGAGCTTGATGTTAACATGGTGGTCTCTCCGGTCCTATTCTTTGTGCTATCTGCATTAATTCCTTTTTAACATTTAGTTGCCGTCTTTAAAAGTTTGCAAATGATTGGGCTAGTACACCTTAACTCACTGCCATCCACACCACCACTCCCTCTGTGCTCTGTGTTTCCACAGCCTGGCACAGAGCAGCACTCCTACTCAACAAAATGGGTATGCCATCTGTCTCAGCAGCTCTGGAGGGAAACAGATGACGAGAGAGAAAGCAGAAAGATGCAGGGTGGAGTAGAAGAAAAAGCAGTGAGAAATAGCTAGCAGGCGACAGCACACATGTGGGAAGAGCACAGGAAGAAAGGAAAACTCATACAAAGGAAAGGGTAGTGTGGTGAAGCCAAGATGAGGAATAAAATAGATAGCAATGATTAGAAAAGATGAGTAGAAGAAAAAATAATTTGTGACAATACATAAAAGAGATAATAAAATGGTCAACCGAGGGTATTAGTACCAGTAGAACCACTAGAAACAAAAGAATTCTTTCTTACAGGCTCTACAATGTAGTTCTATTATAGAGCATGGATTATCTGAGTTTTCTTTTCTACTTACCAGCTGTATTAATATCAAAGAACTTTGGTTTCTGTATCTGTGTAACCGGGGTAATAGTAACATCTTTTCTATCTGCCCCACAGAGCTGTTGGGGACCAAGCCAGTTAAGAGTATGGGAAAGTTCTTGTTTCAGTAATAATAGCTAACTATTACGGGCAGTTATTTTGTGCCAGGCATTGCAAAGTACAGGTTACATTTTTCAACATGATTTTGAAAAGTAGGTATACTGTTTTTTTATTGTCTCTTGAGACTGCACTCTAATTATTTGATTTTTTTTTTTTTAAAAAGAATTGAATATCTCCAGTGATTATGAAACTTTAAAAGCTTAGAGCAAATGGGGCTGGGGCTGATTTTATATTGATTAAACTGGTTGATAGGCACCTGTAAACTGCTTATGTAATTTTTTCCTTTATTATTTTTATTATAAAAATATGTGCAATTGTGGAAAAATTTGAAAATATACCCATGTAATCTATCTAGCAGTAAAAACAATATTTTGATGTATAGATTATCGTGATTTTTTTCTATGTGTTGTATATATTTATCTACCATTTTATCTAAATATACTAAAAAGTATATTTTTAAACAAAAAATGGGTTGCGATTTTTTATATATGAAAACAATTTTCTGATTTTTGCTTAAAAATAAATGATTTAAATAAATACACATAGTGTAGTTTTGGCATTAGTCGTCAATCCTGTGGGTAATTGCCTAGTGGTGTCTGTTTGTCCTGCTGTACACAGCTTCCCCTTTCCTGACTTTGGACAAAGTATGCTTTAACCTCACAAGTTATCCCTATGATTAGACACAAATTCCTGTGTCTAACAAGCGCTTTCTATTTGGATCAACCCATGAAGATAATCATGGAATTTTGTGTTTAATTAACATTCATGAAAGTTCTATAATGTTAATAGAAATTGGTATATTTCTTTGATTCTCATACTTTAGTAAAGTCACATGAAGTATTATTTAAATGATGTTTTAGTTAGAATAGTATTCACTGCAGGTGTCTCTTTCACTTGAAAACAATAGATAGGAAGATTTTTTAAACATACTATAAAGCAACTATTATATTTATAAAAAATGTTGACATTGTTTTTGAGGATGAGGTAGAATCTTGAGAAGCCAGTGCTGGGAGGCAGAGAGATGAGAGATGCTTATTCCCATGTCATCATTTGCTTTGGCTGCCCTACTGTGCAACCCTTTCTGAGCTTGTTTCTGATTTCTAGACAGAACATTAATTCTTTTCTCCTCTGTGCTCCATGGGCACTCTGTGCCTGTGCCTGTTATAGCACTCACCAATATATACCATTCTTTACATGTTCTCCTTCTGGGCTGTATACCCTATTCACGTCCAAGGCATGTCTTATTCATTGACTTACAATTTATGCTGATGGAAGTGACTAGAAGAAAGTTTATCTTGTCTTTGTAGATCCTAGATTTCTACAATATTAGTAAATTAGAGGCCCGATGCACAAAATTCGTGCAAGAGTAGGCCTTCCTTCCCCTGGATGCTGGCACCAGCTTCCCTCTGGCACCCGGGACCCAGTCTTCCCTCACAGCCCCGGCTTCGTCTGAAAGGACGTCCAGTCTAATTAGCACATTATGCTTTTATTATTGTAGATAATTAAAACCCTTAATTGTGGATCTCTTTTTAAAATCTTTTTATTTTAAATGACGAGAGAGAGAGAGAGAGAGAGAGAGAGAGAGAAATCATGTGAGAAACATGGATTGATAGCCTCCCATATATGCCTGGACCAGGCTCGAACCTACAACCCTTTTGGTATTTGGGAATGACACTCTAACTAACTGAGTCACCAGCCTGGGCATTATGGATCTCTTAATTGGGTCATAATAAAATGTACCCTAAATTATACTTTTTCTTTCTTCTCCACGAGTTAATTTATCCTTAGCATACATACTTCCTGTTTCCTGATTTTCCTTTTAATGTTTTAAAGTTGTTGTTGTTTTTTTTTTACCAGCATCAATCTCTACTATCTAAGCATTGCATTATAAATAAACCATATGGAAAAACATGTTTTACAGGGTTTGGTGTTAAAAAGAATATTATTATCTGAATCTTTATCTTATAATCCTTTAAGGATATACATGATGATATCATCATGGACAGTCTTCAGACACCAGTGTTATAACTCCATAAGATTAAGTTTTGTTAATTCCTGTTAGCCATACCTCTGAGGTTATGCCTTCTTATTCTAACATATATTTTATGAGTCATCTTAACTTATTGACTGCAATTGTGGTATCAAGAAATAGCTGCTATTATTTCTGATTATATAGAATCAGACATCTGTATAACTTTCTTTGTTGCTGATGATCCCTCTATTTTCTGACAGTCATAGTTTGAATTACTATAATTTAAAAATGGCTGTACTATGACTAATCCCTAAGAATAAAACACAAACTTAAACTTTGAAGTTCTAAATACAAATACTACTCATGAGCCATGGACTATAAAAGTGGAGTCATTATTCAGCTAGGTTGGGGATATCTATTCCTGAACAAGACACCAAAACAACTTGTTTCAAAATAAAAGACAGTACAATAGTGAATGTTTTCTTCATTTCTAGGTATAGGTATATTTCTTTGATTCTCATATTTTAGTAACGCCACATGAAGTATTGTTTAAATGACGTTTTAGTCAGTTTACCCTTTTGATGAAGGCAAAATAGCAGATTATCAAAGGAGTTCCTGTTAGAATCTATAAAAAATATCTCGAATAAGCCATTTGATTCATACTGTGACATTAAACTATTGCTTTGATTTATAAAGCAGTGAGTAGATTTTAAAGGAATACCATTCACGCACAGCCTGCTGCTAGGAGTAAAAAGTCATTTTCTGGTAACTATGTAATACAGAGTAAAAGGATTGACTAGGCATTGAAATGGAAACAATATCAAAACTTAAACTTGCATAGTTTAAACATATGGTGAGTTTTCTGAGAAGAAACAAGTGATTTTAAAAGGATGATCTCTTTTAAAATCTTAATTTCAGTCGGCAGAGAAAACCCAATGGGTATGTCTGCAACAGCCAGCCAAGAAGAGGAAAAGATCCAGGAGTCAAAACACCAGCAAGAAATACCACCTGCATCTGAGGCCAGAGGTTCCTCGCTTTCTTCAGCTGCAAGTAAACAGCAGTTTTGTCTTTTGTTTTTCTTCTTCTTTCGGTTTGTTTGTCTGCACTGGTTCTTTGTGAACACCTCAAGAAGAACACCAAGTTATTTTTATAATATAGGTTACATTATAACACATGAACTAGCTTTTAAGCTGTTATCTTACCTTTTTTATGCTTGGGCTCTATATTGCAAAACATAAATGTATTTAAAAACTAGAGACCTGATGCACGAAATTCATGTAAGGGCCTTGGCCCCAGCCCCAACTTGCTGCTGCTGCTGCTGTGGCTGGGGCCTCTCCTGCCTCTGCTGTGCGCCCCTCCCCCCACCCCCGTGGCTTTGTCCAGAAGGAAGGATGTCCAGAAGGATGTCCGGTCTAATTAGCATATTATGCTTTTATTATTATAGATGTATTTATTTCTTTACCTTGAATTCAATTATCACTCCTAAACAATGACTTGAAAAGAAGGTAGCATTAAATTGTGACATATTGGACTATTATCTACAAAATATCTTACGAATATATTTTATAAATAATGGCAAATTCTCGCCAAAGTCTAAACAACAACAAAAATAATCTCCTCCATTTCTCTGATATAGAAAATGAGGCATCAATAAAGTGTTCTAGGCCTGAGAGGTTTGGATTTTTAGTTTCTAGTTTTAGTCTGTTTGATCATTTTTCTCGCTCTTAAATGTATTATCTTCTATGAATGATATCTGACAAATCCTGTGCATTAGAATCTAGTCATCTTTGGGTAAACTGACATAGTGACCACTGTGTCTGGAACATTTTTTAAACCCATCTTGAGAAATAGGTAAATTATAACGTTACCTTTAAAAAAGTGCTTTTGGAAAATCAGTTATTGGCTTTGCTTTCTTTTTTTATTTCAGATAGCAACAGAAAATAGATGTCTCTTTCTGACAGCCCTATGATACTATTGTATCAACCAGAGGAAAGAGAAATGAGCCTTTTGAGTTTTGCTGTATGGACAAGGCCCAGTGTTACATTTCCATGTCATGTCATGAATCCATGGAGCAGTGGGACAGATCACATTGCGTGAGAAACATGTGCTTAGTTAAAATTTTTCTCAGAGGAGCACTCAACCTTGGGTCAGGAGGTATGGATCCTCAATCTGGGATGGCCACCTCAAGTTAAGATGGACTTGACTGAAAATAGCATGCTAGCTGAAATCTCTGGGAGTAGATACATTTTTATGAGTAGCAAAACATTTAAGAGAAAAAAAAATCTATGTATTTCATGAAAATTTGTTCTGGTGAAAACGTTTAAAACAATATTATCATTGTTAATTTTCTTTAAAATTTAAGGTGCACAAGATATTGATTTGATACATTTATATATTGCACTATGATGCCCCTCTATCATGTCACATAATGATCATTTCTTTTTTATGATGAGAAGTATTAAGGCCTAGTCTCTTAGTAAGTTTGATATTTATAATAAGATGTTGTCTATAATTGCTATACTATACATTAGATCTCTGGGTCTTATTTATCTACTAGCTTCAAGTTTGTATCCTTAAATATCGCTCCCTTTTCTCCCACTCCCAACCCTTGCTGTTGGTAACTACCATGTTACTTTCTGTTTTTACAAGTTTGGCTTTTTAAAATTTTATTCCACATGTAAGTGATATAATACAGTATGTGTCTTTGTATCTCACTTAGCATAATGTCCTCAAGTTCCACCCATGTTGTTACAAATGGCAGGATTTCCTTCTTTCTCATGGCTGAATAATATTCCTGTATATACCCAGAAATGGGATTACTGAGTCTTATGAAGGAACATCCAGGGCATACTAGGCACAAACAAAATTTAAGTCATTAATTCATTATAAAAAGGCACAATTTTTTTTTATTGTAGTTAATGGCAATACTACATGTTATGGCAATACTAGTTAATGGCAATAGAAATGGAGAATGGGCCAGAAACTGAGAAAAAGGAGACTTAACTTTATTAATGAAGCTGTTTAATTTATTAACTATTTGAAGTATTGATATAGCATGTACCTTGTGTTTAGACATTAAATCCTGAAAATCTAGGTGGTAAAGCTTTCCTAATGCAAATGTCATCTACAAAATCCCCATGATTTGTTTAAATTTTGTCTTCTGTGATTGCAGAAGAAATGGTTTTTATAAGTATCCTTCATGTGGGCAAAAATGTCTTTCCATATTAATATTACTTAGAAGACTGATTCATTACTGAGTGATCAGATCATGATTCTCTTTCTACTTCTATAAAGCATCTGTAGTAGTTAAAACTTATTTATTGTGAGAAATACCTTCCTCTTTGTTTTGCTATTTAGCTGTTATGCTAGATAGATTTGGGTAACATTAATTCATATAAAAATAAATTAAATTAGTTGAAAAATACTTTAGAAAACTTATAGAGCTTATTTTGTACTTTAAAGACATCAAAACCAACGATCCATTCCTGAAGAATGAGATTATGTTTGTCAGTCTACCTTTAGGATAGGGCAAGATGTATGTAATTTGGGGGTTAGGTATTATAGATAAAATAAACTCATCCTTTGTATTCAAAAGGCTCATGTATTAGAAAACAAAGGAAGACAAAGATCTAGAACTTATAATACCACATCTATATATAGTATATATATATATTTTAAAGTGTGAGTCTAAATAGGAGACTGTCTTCTCATTTAATCAGGACAGTTAGGAAATTGGTATTTCTTTAATGTGGACTCCATTTATCTGTCAGTATAATGTTGCTTGGACACATCTTTTTTGGACTCTTGGTATATACTAAGATCACTAGGATATTGTATATACAATATTCTTTCACTGAAAAAGATGCAACAGATTTTTAAACCAAATTTAGGCCTTTACCTTGATAACAGTTATATTTTTTCTTCTTGGTGTTAGTCCAACATTTTAGCATGTTGAGATAGCCTTGATTACTTGATCTTATTTTCTGTTAGCTATTCCTATCAGTGTTGTGCTTCCTGTGCTCTATATAAAAGCCTACTATACCTCACACCAAGAAACTGACAAATGAATGAATAAAACAAGACTATTTGTGTTAGTTTTTTTAATATATATTTTATTGATTTTTTACAGAGAAGAAGGGAGAGGGACAGAGAGCTAGAAACATCAGTGAGAGAGATCGACCAGCTGCCTCCTGCACGCCCCCCAGTGGGGACGCGCCCGCAACCAAGGCACATGCCCCCGACCAGAATCGAACCCGGGACCCTTGAGTCCTCAGGCCGACGCTCTATCCACTGAGCCAAAGCGGTTTGGCTTGTGTTAGTTTTTTTAGAAATAGATACTTTTACATTGCATGATACCTATAGAGAAAATGGTTTAACTTTTTATATTTTTTCCAGATTATTTCACATTTAAAAAAATAGGGTTAAATAATAATCATTTTTGTGACACTGTACTATCAAAATTAAGGGACATTTGATTTCAGTTTCTGCTTTACATTTTAGTGTAAATCAGCTTTCTTAAACACTGTCTTGAAAAAGCACACAAAGGTTTATGGGACTTGTCTTTTTATGCCCACACTTTCTGATAATGATTCATGCCTTTAGTTGACCTCAACTTTGACCAACCCATGAACTATGTATGGAATCAGCCTAATTTGTTATTTATGTCGATGTGTAATTTAAAAATTTTTTTCAGAGCTTCAGGAGATCAACAGCACCAAAGGTAGCTTAGCTTTATTTTACTTTATATTGACTGAGTCAACTTGAGTGGTGCTTAATTAAAGTGTTCTCAATCAGACCGTCAAACTTCAGAGGGAAGGTAGGGGAGGGTGGGGATAAGGGAGAGAGATCAACCGAAGTACTTATATGCCAGCATATAGGCCTAACCAATGGACACAGACAACAGGGGGGTGAGGGCATGAGTGGGGGGGATGCTGGGTAATGTGGGGATAAAGACACATATGTAATAACTTAATTAATAAAAAAAAAATAAAGTGTTCTGTCACCCTCATGAAGAACATTTTTGAGACATCCGAGTAAATTTTAGGTACTATAGATTTTATTTAGGGAGCCCCTGAATGAGTCAGATGATGAAATCAGAATCTCCATAAAATATTCACCCATCTTAGAATATTTTAAAACTCTAGTCAACAAAAGCAACTGCTTTTATGGTTTTCAAATGGATAACTTTATTATCTGAGACTAATGGATTTTGGTTCATTTCCAAAAGATCAGGGTATTAGATGGAACTCATTTTTAATTGATAACAGCACAAACTTTAATTCATTGTTCTATATTATAAATTATACAATATTAAGTCATGAATTTTGAAACATGAGTGCACCCTGATGATTGTTATATTTGTGCAAATGTGTTATGTTTGTGTAAATGTTATAGCATGTTTGCAGATTAAATCAAACAAACAAGCCACACACACACACACACACACACACACACACACACACGTGCATATGTTCGTATTTGGATACCCAAAAACTAAAACCAAGTAACCATGGTGTCTTGACCCCATTTGTTTTTTCATTTTATATTGTTCACTGGCCTTTCTGCCTCAGTCTCTCCCTGCTCTATACAGTCCGCCCTGTTTCAGACAGATCTTTCTAATACTCAGAGCATGTCACCACCATAATTTAGCATCTTGACTTATTCCATGTTGTCTGCACAAAGGTGTGCCAACTTCCAACTTGCCCAATGCCTTTCATGATCTCATTGTCTTGTTCAAGCACATCTCCCTTAGTGTAGTTCTTTCATAATGCCTGCTACTACAAGTCTTTGTACATGCTGGACAGGTATTCCCTTTATCTGAAATACCCTTCCCTTCCCTTTCTAAAAATTCCAATTCATCCTTCTACATCCAGCACCCAGCTTACCTCTAGGAGCCTTTCCTGCCACCCTCTATAGTTAATGACTCTGCTACATCTGAACTCTGTCCTGTTTCTTTTGTTTCCTATGCATGTGTTTGCATCTTTGAAATCCAAATATTTATATGTCTGCCTTTCCTACTAGATAGTGCGTATGTCCAGAGTGAGAATGTCATTATTTTTCTTTCAAAGTTTTAATCTCTGCCATTAATATTGAGGGAGCAATGAACCTAACACAGTGCCTAATGAATAATAGGAACTAAAAGAAGTTTTCTTGAATTGAGTAAAAATGATCCTTTTAGGTGAACAAAAGAAATTCAAGTAGATAATTAGCATCCTAAAGAGTATCCTGCTGACCTAGATCACCAGTTACTCTCTGGGAAGGACTCATGGACGTCCTGTGGAGTTTTCATCAGTAGAGAGCTGACTGCTGTTTTCTGGGCTCTGACGAAATTCCAAGTGTGTTTGCAAGGCTCCTGATTGTGATAGACTACAAATAACAGTCAGGTGTTTACATAAAATATTTGGAAATTAAATTGTACCATAAAGTCTTGTTGGGAAAATATTTGTGACCTTTATATCAAAGGTCAGCTGCCTTTGATATAACACCCCGAATGACGTGGGATTTAACCTTGTTCTGCCTGGGTTTGAAGTTTAATTTTTTGTTACTGCCTGTATAGCTGTCAGCAAATTTCTTAACCTCTGAGTCCTGGTTTGTTTACCTGTCTCATAGGGGACAGTACCTCATAGGACTGGTGTGAGGATTGTGTAAGGTTGACATGGTATGAATACTAAGTTTTTAGGACAGTGCTTAGCACTGAATAAAATCTTG